CTGCCACGCCCACCAAGCCACAGAACCGGCAGTAAAAAAAAAATTTGAATTTCACCACTGGTCTGGATGCTATATCTATGGAGAACCACAAGCATTTGTTGTTAGCCAAATCTGCCCATGATTAATTCATGGATCTCTGGCTCCGAATGTCACCCATCCTTTTTCCCCAGGCAGTTATTAAACATGAAGCAAGTTTGTTTTGCTGACAGAAGGAACGCTTGTTAAATCAACAGAGCCATTTGGGGCTCTGGTAGCATTAGATTTCACCAGCGAAAACAGCAAGAGAAAAATAACTGCTCGACCACAGAATTTATTTAAAAGAATTCTCCTGGGGAAGGTGATCAGCCCTTAATGGGAAAGTTAGCCCCATCCTTAAAATTTTTCCTTCAGATCTGGAGGGATGGATATTTCTCTTTCCATCCATGAGTATTCCTTTATCCTTAATTGGGATGGCACCTTTTCAAGACTTTATTGGAAGATCTGGAATCCTCTTTCTTAAACGACTGAATGCCCAAAGTAATACAAGTGGATTTGGTAAGAAGAAACAGCACTCTTCTGACCTAGGCTTCCCGAGAGCATGAAGCAAACTCCTTATTCTGACAAAATCCCCCTTTTATTAATTGACTGTGAATTCTGCTCATTCACATCCAGCAAAGTCTTTCAAGGGAGGATTTACAGTCACAGACCTTATCTGGCTTAGAGAGCTGACAGGCCGATATCTGCAAAACAAATTGTCTCTTGCAAACTCCACTCCCCTTTCACTCCTCTTCTATTTCCTCTGGGAGAGGCCATTCACCGTCCACCTGTGGCCTTACTCCCAAGTCGACCCCTGCTCTTTAGCTCTTCCCTTCGTCTGGCAACTCTGCGCAAGTGCACACTGGGAACAGGCTCCCCCTGTTCTTCTACCTCACTGATGTCTGACTCTGGAGGCTCTGGAGGCAGCAGATAACTCCCAGATGGCCCTGGCCCCCTCTCTGCCTCTGACACAGAGCCCGCATCCGAGCCTTCCCCTGACTCCAGGCCCATGCTCCTCCCTAACCTCCTCATTGTCTGAATCTGCTGCCAGTTCCACTGGCCACTGCTGGGCCACAAAAATACCATTCCAGACAAATGGATGTCCAATCTCTTCTTAAAAATCTCCAGTGAGAAACCATCCACAAAATCTGGAAGCAAGACATTCCACTGATTAATTGTTCTCATTGCCAGGAAATCTCTCCATTGTTCTAGGTTGGATCTCTCTTTGATACGTCTCTATTCATTACTTCTTGTCCTGTCTGAAGTGCTTTGGAGAATAGGTTGTCTCCCTAGTCTCAAATACTGGAAGATGGCTATCATGTCACCCCTAGTACTTCTCTTTGTTAGACTAGACAGACCCAGTTTCTGCAACCATTCATATGTTTCAGCCTCCAGCCCCCTAATCATCTTTGTCGCTATTCTTTGCAAAGAATCTTTGTTGTTATTCTTTGCACTCTTTCCAGAGTCTCAGCTTCTTTTTGGTATCATGGTGACCAAAACTGGATGCAGTATTCCAAGTGTCGTCTTACCAAGGCACTATATAGTGTATATTATACAGTAAATGGGAAAAAAGAGGTCAATCTCAGTTTCAGAGCTATGATGATCATTTGTTTTACACATGCTTAGTGGATTCAGCAGATTTGAGAGTAAGATCAGCAAAAGAAAGGAATTTACCAAGAGGAGAAGGAGGCAGAGAGAGCATCATAGCATTGGTTCGTTGCATAGGATCTGAAGGCAGGAAATCAGCAAGGGGGGGGGAAACCTAAAATTAAAGAGAAAATAGGCCCAAGGAGAGATAAGAAAAGGGTTATCCAGAGAAATTGCCAATTACCTTTTCTCCTTTAATGCCATTAATCCCAGGGTCCCCCTAAAAGGAAAAAAGAAAATAACAAGAAATGGAAATTGGGAGCAGAACAGAAAATGAACAGCCTTGCCTCCAGCTGAGACTAGTTCACCATGGCAAAGCTGCTGCATCTGGGAATCCAGACAGTAAATACAGTTGACACAAGTCTGAAAGTGGTTCCAAACAGCTGTTGCGTACACAATGACACTCTTCCAAGCCTTTCCACCTGGTGACTTAGAAGACAGGGGGCTGAATGGATTGGTGCCCAGTTGGGCATTTGTCAGCAAAAGTTCCAGAACTGGTTCAGTGCTTAACTTCAGAGGTGACTCACGTCTGTCATACCATAGTCAGCATGCGTGGAATTGAATGGAGCCAAGCAAAGACACTCACCAATTTTGGAAATGTGCTGGAATCAGGCTGCCACAGTTTGCCTGCTTAATGGCCCTTGTGGTTACATTCCTTTGTGCTCCATATGTCTCTGGGTCCTGCTGGTTTGAGCAGGTCAGAAATATCTTCTCTCCAGCTAAGGGCTCTTAGAAGGAGCCCAAAGGAAATCTTTAAATGAACACTGGGAAAATGTCCTCTCTCTTTTTTTTCGCACCTCGGTTTTGCAAATTTCTGAAATGCACATTTTAAAAAAATCTTACAAGAATATGGGTATATTTTGGTGAAGAGTTCTCAAAGCTGTACATTTGGGACTGCGGTTTTTCCCAAGGCAGAAAAGTTTCACAACTATTTTACGTGAAAAGAAAGAACTTCTTTTCAGGTTAAGTAATGAGATGGTGAGAAGAAAAGGACATAACTAAGAGATTAGATTGGCTCCATCCCTGCTGGCCTCCCATAACACTTTGAAAACTTTACACTAAGTTTGGGGCCCTTGTGTGTGTGTGTGTGTGTGTGTGTGTGTGTGTGTGTGTGTGTGTGTGTGTGTGTGTGTGTGTGGCAGAGCCCATCTCCTGCCTGTGTTCATAGTTTAGATGATGCCCAACTGCTGCGTGGTTTAATATAGTGTGCTTTTTATCTATTTTATTGTAAACCACCTGGAATCACAGCTATCAACACTGAGTAAATAAACACTTAACACAGATAGCATTTGCCTCTCCATGCAGTTCTATTCTGCTCACTCATTTCTCTCATGTTCATCCACTGCTCTGCACATTTCCTTTGTTCTTTAAAGCGCTCACTTCTTTTTCTGAAGACCTCATCAACTCCATCCAACCATGACTTTCCCAGTTTCCCTGTTCTCTCCCCCTCAACCCATCTTTTCCCTTTGTATACTTGCTGTGCAATTCAATACTACTCTATTTTCTGTCTTTAGCCAAGCCACTGAAATGTACTTCTTCCATAGAGGTGAGACATTTCTGTATTCACAGCATATACATTCATTACTTCTTCATTCTTCTTTTATCATCATGCACACTTCTTAACCATGCTGTCTCACTGCATTCACCAGACTCTCATGTTTCTTCTTACATGTCTGTTCTGACCCCCCTCTTTGCTTGTTCACAAATGACAGCCAGACAGAAATTCAAAGGAAATATCTTTATCAGTCCTGGCTCAAGCTGACTGCGAGCCCAAAATAAACGTAGATAAAATCTCTGGCAAAAAGTTACACAGCAAATGCAAAAACAAAACTCTTACAGCAAACCAGGTTTACAGAAAGCAAATCACTTATCCAAGTGCCTCTCTGAATCATGGAACTGAACTCACGAACAAACGAACGACGAACGACGAAGGAACGTTGACTTCTGCAACCAGGGCGTGGCACCATCAGTCCTTTTATCCTAGGAGAAGACTCTAACGAGCCCCAGCTGCGTGGTAATCCTGCATCACAAAACAACTCACAGGTCTCTGCTGAGTCACAACACATATGGAAAAAATCATGAAATACCGCAACCTGGCCCTTGAACCTACCAGATTATGGATGAAACATGGAACAGTGATAGCCATTGTCATCGGGGCATTTGGTACCATGTCCAAGAATTTTATAAGATACAAGGTGGCGCAGTGGTTAAATGCAGCACTGCAGGCTACTGCTAGATCAGCAGGTCAGCGG